GTAAGCCGCCCTGAGTCTCCGGAGAAGGGAAGCATATAAATCAAATTTAAAAAAAACAACAACAACAGGAGGCAGAATCAAGATTTCCCCTTCAATTTTTTTCCACTGCTGCTTCACAAGTCATAGAATTGTCCCCCAAAGGTGCTTTTTCAAAATGCAATTGGACTTTGGGTTTGTTTTTTTTGTTTTTTTGAAGATGTTTCACTTCTCATCCAAGACGTTTCTTCAAATCTGCCAAGCAAAGGCTAAGTCCAGTTGTCTTTTGAAAAAGCACCTTTGGGACAACCAAGACCTGGATGACTGAGAATCTCCATGGGATTGTATTATAGTCTTTCAATTTAAAAAGAATGGACTAATTCTGAGCTAAATTCTGACACAGTAGATACATATCACCACAAAATGTTGGATTGTGAAAGTTATTTTTTGTCTGATTGCCAAATTGGGTTGTGAAAACTTAATGGCAGTTCTATTTGATTTATTGCCTGATTGCTTAGACTAGACATTGAGCATTTTTTGTGATGGATGGTAGTTGTATGGATTCCCAGGAGGGAGGTGATGCATTCCATAGCAATAAGAGGCAGCGCAGTCTAGAAATTTTGTGTGAGAGAAAGAGGGTGAAGACAGCCCCTCCCTAATAGTTCTCTGATTATAGGTTTGATGTAGATAATAGGGTCTTCGGTTTGGCAAGATTTTGTTGATAGGTGTAGAACAATTTTAAAAAATCTGCTTGGAGGAATCAACATGTGTCTTATCTTGATTTTGGGGCCTGACAATTTTCAAATTAATCAGAAGCCAGGTTCCCTCAGCAATAGCTTGATCTAGCATTATCTTGTCTTGTTCTCTGTCCTTCCCTCGGACAATTAGAGTATTATCTGCCTACTGACATGACTGAGAACAAAACTCTGGATTGCTTCCTGCAGCAGAGGTGCCTTGACTGAATGTTGATGGTTTTGGTTTAGGTCCGGGACCATCCTATTATCCCATCCTGTCACAAGCAGAAACTAGATTTAACTAATTAACCCTTAGTCTGCCTAGTAGAGTGATGTGCTGTAATTTAGAACTATCACAAGCCTGAAATTATATCAGAGGACAGGAAGAACAGGATTTGGAAGGTAAAAGATTGCTTTAATCTACTCTTGAATTTAAGAGCACTTTAGTTATTACCTAAGACTGCCTTAATTACTGGTTAACCCACTTGGCCACACCCTTGATCTCTTGTTTAGATGCACTTGGGAAGAAGAGTTCTTTGTCCTTCTGTCTCTGAAAACTGCACTACATAAAGATTGTTGAAGAACCTGAGTTCAAAAATGGACTTTTTGTTTGCAGGAAAAACACCTTAACTTGTGTGTTCTCAGGTACATCCACTCCCGTTTCAAGGGAGTGGTTGTTCAGTAAGAAAACAGATCAATATTTTGTTAAAATACAGCCCGAATCAGCTCCTGAAGTCAGAGTTTTGTCTCTTACTTTCAGGACAACTTTGCAGAATAGATGCATTGGCTAGTGCAGTGTTTCTCAACCCTAAAAGCTTCAAGATGTATGGACTTCAATTTCCAGAATTCCTGTGTATAGCTAACAAAATTAAAACTCAGTAGAAACAGACTAGTAAAAATAGCAGGAAAAAAAACCTCATGAAACTAGCAATAAAAATCATCTTCGTCTTTTAACAACCCCATAATCCCCTGTGGGGTGGAGTCTGGGCAACTGAATGGAGCTAGCAGAGTGTTTTAATGACCAGATGTTTGTTCAGCAGATATATTCTCAGTGTGCCCAGAGAGAGAAACATCTGTCTCTACCTAGGATCGAACTGACAACCTCCTGAAAACTAGCAATAAAAATATGTAAAATATACACAGAACAGCTGCTGAGAGCAACAATAAGCACTATAATGAGTCAGCCTGAAGTTGAGTCACCCTAAAAGTCAGCTTTAGTCATGCAGATATAGAGCGCAATATCATGGATTCATTATAATACATCCCTTTGTAATCTCCTAGTATTGCAAGCTGTACTTACACAATCTGGCCCCTTACTCCAAAAGATAGTGTTAATACTTGATGCTGCAGCTACTGTATAATATTTTATTATAATATTGTATTTCTACACTTCCTTTAGGGTTTTTCTTTATTTGTGTGGGTCTTTTCAACTGAATTATTTCACTAAATAATTCAGCTCAGAACATGTCTGTAGGTTGCTAATGTTCAGTTCATTTATATTTCCCATCTATATTACATTCTCAGATTGTTTCTTTCCTTGCACCATTTAAATAATATCCAGCTTTTAGCACTGTTTGCCTTAACAGTCATTTTTACAATATTGCATAGCAAATGGAGGCACAAATGTTATTGGCTTGACTTGCTGTGGATTTGGACATTGCTGATCAAAAAGGCAGGACAAAATAAGCAGTAAAACAGGGAACTTTGCCAATTGGGCCCAGTGCCTTAATGCAACTCTCTTATGGTGAAACCATCCCATTTCCCCAGCTCATTTAAAATTTGTGATTGTTAAAAACATGGGAGGAAAAAAATCAAAAGGGCAAAAGAATACTGCCACCACATTCCTTTCACTGAAGTAGATGATCCTAAGAAACTGCTTGTATCAGTTCAGACCACTAAAACCACAGATTCTAAGCATTTCTACATGTGATCATTGCTCCATTCCAGAATCAACTTTGGAATTCAATGTTGTCTGCATTCAGCAGCTAAACTCATTTAGCTAAAAAGACGGGGAGGGAAAAATCCTAAATTTTTGTTTCCAAGAGATGAAGTTCTGCAAAGATTTTGGGCAGTCTGTTTCCACATTAATGAGAAGTCTTAACTCACTAGGCCCATTTGGGTTTCAGCTGACTTACTTAGCATGATCTCCATAAATGCTCTCCAAGGAGCAAGATGACTTGACAGATCTCCCTTATAGATTTTTTTTCTGTATAGGACACAGTGGTGGGTTCTAATCAGTTTTACCACCAGTTCACATTGCACACACGCTTTGCTTGCGATTGCCATGCGCATGGTTGCTTTACTTGCACGCGTGCCGAACTTGCGCTTCACGCAAGCGCAATGAGTAAAAAAAACAGCTAAGGCATGGCAATCCACTCTGCCGCACCTTACAGCTGACCAAAAAACAAAAGAAAAAAAGGTAGGTATAGTGCGGGGGCGGGGGGGAGGACCCAACTGACATTCAAAGTGAACTGGTTCACTCTCCTATGAAGATTTCCACTACCAACTCTCCCGAACTAGGGAGAACCGGTAGCAATCCACCACTGATAGGACATGATAATGTTCTGAATTGATTTGGCCAGTTTTGACTGTTTGCAGATTCTTGCAACTCTTCCCAAGGTGAAGCAAGCAAGGATGAAATCTTTTTTTTTTAAAGTAAGGTTACACATGAGTCAGTTTAACCACATTTATTTATTTATTTATTTATTTATTTATTTATTTATTTATTTATTGGTTGGTTGGTTGGTTGGTTGGTTGGTTGGTTGGTTGGTTGGTTGGTTCGATTTATATGCCACCCTTCTCCGGAGACTCAGGGCGGCTTATAGCCCCCACAAACCGGGTCCGCATTTTACCTACCTCGAAAGGATGGAAGGCTGAGTCAACCTTGAGCCTGGTGAGATTTGAACTTGCAGTAATTGCAGGCAGCTGGTGCTATTTAACAGCACGTTAGTCTGCTGCGCCACCAAGGCTCTCACATGCATCTCTAATGATTATACCTCAACTTAATGCACAGAAGACTGTGCATTATACAAACCATTATATCGTGTAGCAATGACACATCTGCCCTACCTTTTTACAGGTACAAAATCAAGTCTTAATGGTAGGAAATAAATAAAGGTGTCTCACTATTACAAAGATTTCCCAAGCCTGGAAGGAATATAAAAAATGCTATAAAACTTTCATTAATAAGAGCTATTTGATTAAATCAGTATGCCCTGGTCAGAACATATAATCTTGTATTCCCTCCACACACACACAGCCCCCAGTAGTTTTAAGAGAGAAAATCATGCTGGAACAGACCTGTGATCCATCTTGGTTTCCACCATGGTCAACAGGATGTCCCTGGGGATTTTACAGCAAGACATGAATGACAGACCTCTGTGTTTAGAGCCAACCAATAAAATACACATTGATGTTTGCAAATAAATCAAACTATACTTCAAAATTGAAAACCTTCAGCCCTTGGACTCTGAAGGAGAAAAAAGGGAAGGGACTTGTGCCAATAAGTAGAAATATTTCAAGGGTGCAAGATGTTACCGTAAAGCTTTGGTTTAACAGACCTTGGTTTATAATTGATATCCTTCTTGGCTTCCTAACTTTGTCTTGCTTTCTGCTCTCCTGATTCTATTTCTGCCAGAGCAATTCCTCCCTATTTAGCAAGGACAAAATGTTTGTGAGTAAAGTGTTCCAGGGTGATATCAATTGTAGAAAATGTCAAACATCAGCAATGTTTTCTAAACAGTCATCTTTAGCTTACCACATTGCTTCAAAGTTTAATGTAGAGCAGGGCTGTGGAAAGTAGCATTTGATGTTGGTGGAATAATCATCTCACTGATCTTTTGGGTGTATTATCAAATGGCGGTAATTGTCCCAGTGGCTATTAGCACATTGTCAAAAATCTAAACAGAAATTTCAAAATGGATCCCATCTTCTTTCTTCTTGTCACTTCTGATTTCACATGTAACTATCGCTTTACTTTTTCCGTGAAAGAAACTTTCACCAAAAGTCTCTGCCCCGTAGCATTGAGGACCCAGTTTGTGGGGGCAATAAGCTGACTTTGTATAAATATACAAAAGTATGAAGGCTATTGCTTAACGCATTGTAAGCCGCCCTGAGTCTCCGGAGAAGGGCGGCATATAAATCAAATTAAAATAAAATAAATAAAATAAAATAAAATAACTTTAAAATGTATAACAAGTGAAACAATCTACACTCCCATACATTTTGATTCTTATTATTTATCTATGATTGAAAACATCTCTTTACTATTTAAAATTAAGAAAGTTTTACCTCTTTGAAGAGATACATCCAGTGGGATAGCACTACCCTGCTTTGATTTAGTGTACCGTTTAGGAGATCTTCTGGACTCACAACTCCTGCTTAAGGAGCAGGTGACAGTTATGGCCAGAAGGGCCTTTACACAGCTTTATGTTGTGTGCCAATTATACCCTTTCAGGGTTTGGCAGTCTGTTGATAGTCACTCATGCCTTAGTCATTTCCCAATTGGATTATTGCAATGCATTCTGCTAAAGGTTGCCTTTGAAGAGAACAGAAGCTACAAGTGGTCCAGAATGCAGCAGCACAAGTAATTATACTCATGTGACACTACTCCCAGTTGGCTTTCTCAGGGCAGTTCAAAATGTTGGTGATCAGCTTTAAAGCAATAGCAATAGCAGACTTATATACTGCCCCGTAGTGCTTTACAGCACTCTCTAGGCAAATTACAATGTCAGCATATTGCCCCCAACAATCTGGGTGCTCATTTTACCAACCTCAGAAAGATGGAAGGCTGAGTCAACCTTGAACTCCATCAGGGTCAAACTCCACTCCAGGATGTGGGCAGAGTTTGCCTGCAATACTACATTCGAATAATTGTACCACCAAGCCCTACATGACCCAGGACCAGGCTATTTGCAGGACTGCCTTCTTCCCAGGGCATCTGCCTGCCCCAAAGGCTCCAACAGAGACTATGCCCTCTTGGTCCCTTCACCAAAACTATGTCGTCTTGTGAGACCCAGGAAGCTCACCTTCTCAGTGGTGCCCCTATCTTATGGAGTTATCGTCCTCCTTACACAGTTGATTCTGACCCTACTAATGTTTAGAAAGGGTGTTTATGATTTCTTCATGTTTATCAGATTATATATTGTAGTTTTGTATTCTTCTTGTTAGCTTTTGACAAGTGTTTTGTAAGCTGCTCAGTGTCCCTTTGGTTGAGATGGGCAGTCACACAAATGTTTTACCAGAAGAGAAATATTGATTAATCTGGCATTCAGTTCTAAATCATTCCCAACACTATATACAGTATAATTTTCTTACTAAGTCACATTACCTGGAACTTTGACTTGGAATTGGCAGCATAGACAAAATTTGAGTTTGCTACTTAAACAATAACTCTTAGATAGATAGATACGTAGACAGACAGACAGACAGACAGACAGACAGACAGACAAACAAACAAACAAACGAAAGAGGCAGTCAGAGGATTCAAAAGGCTCCAAAATCCTTGGAAGAAGAGGTTCCTAATACTATAATGTATATCAGAGAATTCAGAAAAAGGAACAAAGTTACACCCTCCCCAGACAAACTTAAAATATATCAACATCTCATGAGACATTTGGACTCTCATGTGAAATCTTTTAAGATACCATAATTTCATGCGATCTGATCAATTTTATTTTTAGATGTTGCATTTGGGCTTTCATGTGAGATTATGCTCTGCAGAATGGATCATGTTATCAAGAGCAAATTATTTAAGTACAACAAAAACAAACTATTAATAGGACCGCTTATAAGACCAGTAATAACAAATAAGTCTTAAAAATGCCAATTTGTTGAAGTAGTTAAAAGCATTGGGTTAGAACCTTGGAGACCATGAGTTCTGGTTCTTCCTTTGGGCCATTCACTCTCTCTCAGTCCTAGAAAGCATGCAAGAGCAAACCACTTCCAAAAATGTTGCCATGAAAACAGCAGGGATTTGTCTAGTTTTTTTTTTTACCAGACTCAAAGGCCCATAAACATATACGCAAAAAGAATGCTGGGTTTGTTTATATATAAATCATATTTATATGGCCACTTATTTCACAGAATGTAACTCTGGGTAACATGCAATAAAGCCATAATATTAAAACAAAACTACAATTAAAATTGATATATTTTTAAAAGACTGGGGAAGACCCTCCCCGTCCCCAGGCCTGTTGACCCAGCCAGGTTTTGATGAATTTCAGAAGGATTATAGGGAAGGGGCCAATCTTACCTCAGGGTGGGGGGGTGGTGATGTTTCACAGGGCAAGGGCCATCAGCAGAAAAAGCTTTCCTCCTGGGTCCCGCCAGATATAACTCCCTAGTAGACAGGATCCACGACATAACTCTTCTGCCAGACTTGATGAAACAGGCAGATGTAGTTGAGAAGAGGCAATTCCTCAAATAACCAGGCTTCATGCTCTGAAGGGCTTTAAAGGTCAAAACCAACACCTCGAATTGGATCCAGAAGCAAACTGGCAACCAATGCAGCTTGTGGAGCAGAGGTGTAATGCATGCCATACCAGAAGCACACATAACTGCCCGTGCCATCACAATCTTCGCCATCTGAAGTTTTTGATTACTCTTCAAGGGAAACCCCATATAGAGTGCATTAGAATTGCCTATTCAGGATTGCAAAGAGAAAGCAAGCAAATAACAGAATAGGGCTTGTACCAGAGACAATAATCTTGCGGACAGGTAATACAGATGATGATGATGATGATAGCGATTATGATTTTATTATTTTCTCTATTTAGGGCATGCTAGAGAGAATGTTCAGTAATGTCATGATGTCACTTGAGAAGCCGGAGCTGGACTTTCAACACATTCTACCCCTTCTCAGGTTATTTTGTGTGGAGAATATGTTTTAAAGGCATTGCAAAAGGACATTTGTTCTATAGAAAATGGATAGCAATCATGACACTATTATTCAGCACTCTGCAGCTGCATTTGGATAGAACAGTCCTGAAGAGTCAAAATTGGGCTATGGAGCTGCATATGATATGACAGTCATAAACTGCCTATGCTTACCCTACAACAGTGGTGAGTTTCTTCTGGTTTGCCACAGTCCGGGTGAACTGGTAGTGGCAGCGGCGGGAAGCTCCGCCCACCTGCCCAGACATCATCACAGACACTCTGCGCATACGCAAAAGCGCCACCTGTGCGCTCACAGTTCCGAACCAGTAGCAAAGGTAAGTGGAACCCACTACTGCCTACAAGGAACTGCACACTTTGAGAGACAGGGGCTTGGGGACAGGTGATGTACAGGCTTTGCTTTCTCTGACTACTCTCACTTTCTGGACAAGAGGTCCTAGTTGGATGGCCAAATGTTGCCAAGAGATGAACAAGTTGGGTACTTTGATGAAGAGGGCACGAAGTTGAGTGACTAAGGGTTTTGCTGCAACTGCTTTCAATGTATTAAGATGAAGAAAATGCATTACATATTCGCTAACTTCTAAAGAAAATCAGAATTAACCACAAAAATGAACTTCCTTTATTTTAAAATATATTTCTCTTTCACTGTCCTGTTTAGCTTCCTTCAAAGTTCAGGCTATCTAGGAATCAGTAGGAAATTATCTGATTTTGGAATATCATTACCAATAAAATAAACACTTTTATTTTTAAAGCCAATCATTTATTTTATTTATTTAGTTTGTCAAGCATGTATGAGAAAACAAGTATGAACATAACATATAAGTATAAACAGGTATAAGTATATACGGATAAATGGGGACAGTAGGCACACTGGTGCACTTATGCATGCCCCATTACAGACCTCTTAGGAATGGAGTGTGGTCCATGGCAGACTTTAATTTGATTTTATCGGGTTTTTAAATTTTGTGTATTTATGTATTTTATTGTTGGCTGTTCACCGCCCTGAGTCCTTCGGGAGTAGGGCGGTATACAAATCAAATAAAACCAAACCAAACCAAAACCATGGTAGACAGATTAAGGTTAAAGTTTTGGGGATTTGAGGATATAACAACAGAGTCAGATAGTGAATTCCAGGCACTAACCACTCTGTTGCTGAAGTCTTATTTTCTGCAATCGAGTTTGGAGCGGTTTACTTTGAGTTTGTATCTACTGTTTGCCCATGTATTATTGCGGTTGAAGCTGAAGTAGTCATTGACAGGTAGGATGTTATAGCAGACAATTTTGTGTACTAAGCTTAGGTCAGACCGTAGGCGGCATAGTTCTAGGTTGTCCAGGTCCAAAATTTCAAACCTGGTGGCATAAGGTATTCTATTGTGAGCAGAGAATACTCTTCTCGTGAAATACCTCTGGACAATTGTATTAATGTCCGTTATACAGTGTGGATTCTAGGCAGATAAGATTCCTAAATGTTGACTATGGGGGTCTGATGTTAGGACAATTGAGATATAGATGGGTGGGGGTGGAGATTGCAGTTTAAAACTGTAATGCAGCTCAAGAGAATCTTGGCAACTGGTTCTATAGATCAGATGTCCCCAAATTTGGCAGCTTTAAGACTTGTGGACTTTGACTCCCAGAATTCCCCAAACCAGTGCTGGCTGGGGAATTCTGGGAGAGGAAGTCCACTAGTCTTAAAGCTGCCAAATTTGGAGACCTCTGATCTATAGATATTAATATTGGCTGCATATGTTGTTGCCTTCCAAAATCTGTTCTATTATTTGCTTTGTCCAACGGGATGGCAATGCTACATCTTGACTAGCTTATTGTAAAAAAAAAAAAAAAAAAAAGCATCTTTCCCCATTCTTGTGAGGGCATGTCAGTTTTCAAAACAATGGAATGGTCTGTGACGGCCCCAAATGAAGTTCTGTAGATCTCCATTGTGAAGCTCACAAAGGGGTTCTTATAGTTAGCCTTTTCTCTTTCGAGAAAAATATACAATGGGAGGGAGGGGCTCTCTGGAAGTTGAATTTAGTCTTTACTATCTTGCTTTTATACAACCCAAATTGAAATAATTGTTCAAATTAAACATCGAGGTCCCCTGGGAGACAAACATAACCTCACGCTTTAGGAAATTAGAGCATTTTACTGAATGCAAAAGTCAGTGCGGGTGGGTTTGTGCCTATGCACACACAGGTATTTTCTTACTTTCAAAGTCTGCAGGTTACACCTGTTATGTTTTGAGAAGGGGTGAAAAAGAATCAACAGCAGTCAAAACGTAATTCTTTTTGCAGAAAAAGAATCCCCCTTTGATTTCTATTTTCCTTTGGACAAAATTAAGCAAAATTAAATGCTATAATTGCTTGCAGTGGGTGGTCTACAAATTTTCTTTTAACTAGAAAAAGGATCTGAATTGAACTGTTAATGGATATCAAAATATCTTAATGTTAGTTGGGAATTTGTTTTATATGCACAGCTACAATTTCTTGCCTAGGGCCATCAAGTTGAGAATGAAGAACTTCAAAAATATGGAGCATATTA